CGTTTTTTTTTTTTTTTTTGTGTGTGTGTGTGTGTGTACACCCAAGATCCTGAGAGGAGAATGGAGGAGAAGGGATTGCGGCATGACCAATCTCCCTGTGGTGTGTTTTCTTGCTTTTTGTCTCTCTGATGAGCACATGAGCCCTATAGCAAACCCCTCTCACCCCCCCCCCAAAAGAATATTTTTTAAGCTTGTTGGGCTATCTTCTATAAATTCTTCAAACTTACTTTTCTTCATATCACATAGCCAGAACCTGATCCTTAAATTTTTGAGAAATTTGCGGCATTTAGCCTGCATTTAGACGAGTTCCTTGGTGGGATTTGCTGGACACCTGCAACCCAGATACAGCTGGATCTCCTGCTCCTTGAAATCTACATGTTTGGTCAAAACTCAAATTGCTTTTTCTAGGGTGGAGGGAAATTGAAGGTAAAGTCTAGGTTCAGTTGGAAGTTTAGAGAGCCCTTTTATGATCTACGCCTGTACTTTGGCCCCCTTTTCACCACTCCTTTCAACTCTGCAGTTGTCTTTTTTCTCTTCTGGCTTTTGAATATGTTCTATTAACATGTTCAATTAGTATGTTACTCACCCACCTGCTCATTAACTCATTCAGGTACGTATTAAGCACTGTTCATATGCCAGGTATTCCTCTCTCTCTTTGTGTGAGACTCCTACTTACCTAGCTAGAGTGTCACTCTCTTCAGGAAGCCTTCCTGACCACCTAAGTTGTACCTCAGCTCCCTATATATTGCTTTTCAAGGAACCTTTGCTTTTTTCATTGTGATTAGATGGGAAAGTCTGTGCAAAGCACTTTACTATAGCGCCTGGCACATAAGCACTGAGTAAATGTTAGTTATTACTATCTTCAAGCTTCCCACCCTTCCTACTTAACAGGCTGCTGAGACCCAGCCAGGTCACACTCTGTTACTTACTCTGTAGCCAACTTACTTTACCCACCTTATCCTTGATGAGGGTCCAGGTGGCATCAGCTTCATCCACTGTTAGCAGGTGGGGGGTACCAACCAACATTGTGGGGTGTGGGGAGGGATTGGGCAGGGCTGTGGCTGCTGCAGGAACCCCAAGCTGCCCAGGGGGGGTGAGGTCCCAGCCTTGGGCTCTGACCTACTGTAACATGAGGTCATAGAGGTCCTGCCTAGGTAATGGAGCCTTGGGTAGGGAGAAGAGAGTAACTTTCCCATTCTTACTAAGGCTTGTGGTTCATACTTTAATTACACGTTCATTCTCATACTTTAGGGGAAGAAAATGCACATATCTGTTAAGGAACATTTATAAGAGTGTGTGTGTGTGTGTGTGTGTGTGTGTGTGTGTGTAATTCTTGGTCTAAAGGGAACAGGATCACTATTCTTCCTCCAGCTTTTCCTGCAGCAGTTTGCTATCTTGTTAGCGCAGATGTCTTTTTACTTATTTATTTTTAATTGCCAGAGGGTAAATGTATTTACAGAGAGTGAGAAGAGGATGTGGCGAAGAGGGCAGAGGCAGAATCTCCCAACAGGGCATGATCACATAACAATCCCTTTTCCTCCATTTTTCCTTTCCATCAGGATTTTAGGCATGCCCATCATGTTTTTTAAGCCACGGGGACCGAGATTCAAACCATGTTCAGCCATGTGGGATCCAGCTCCTAATGCATAGCACTTAAACCACCATGCTATGGGACCAGTCTGCAGATGACTTCTTTGTGAAGTTGGATGGGGGTCTTGAAGGACATGGGAGAAGTATAGATCAGAATGTGCAGAGATTTAATTGATCTGGGTGTGTCCGGATGTCAAGATTTATAAAATTTTTTAGTTGATTTTGATGTGCAGCCTAGGTTGAAATCCATTTTTAATGGATGGATTACGATGGCAAGGAAAACCAGTTGTGTGTGTAGGAGGGTGCTGTGCTGAGCTCTGACAATGTGGAGGTAAGAATCTAATTGGGATAATGTTGCCTTAGTAACTGGAGACAATTTTCAGGAAGCCAGTGTTGCCTAGGTAAATTTGAGGAAAATTTACTTCACGCCTCACTCCCTATCCTAGGCTGATTTGTGTCTAGTAGTGACTCCCATTCCAGCTCTCATCTATATGTCATCTCCCCTCATTTCTTTGTCCAGAGACCCAACCTTGTGTTTTGCTCTTGAGTAGTGCTTTGAGGAAGCACTCTAGAGAACCTTTTCAGAAGCTACTTTTGCCCCCATACCTTAGATGGTCAAGGAATCCTCTCTTTGTGTCCCTCTAGAGAGTCTCCATTGTGCCTAGGAAGACCGTGTGTGTAGGAAGATCCCAGCCCAGTATGTAGAACTGGCTAAGATAGTATCAATGGAGTGGTGGGAATGTACAAAGAAGGGTCCTACAATGATGGGCAAGAGCATAGTCAGGAACAGTTTTCTAAAGGATATGCAACTGGTATCAGGGATAGGTGGGTCTCCTTAGACCAAGCTAAGGGTCTAGGTGCCAAGTCTTTGAGCAAAGGTGTGAGTGGGTACCGCCTTATTATTCAGAAGAGGAATTAACATCAAATATTTGTTGAACATTTCTGTGGAAGGGCCGTGCCAAACATGTTGAATACGTTATCTTAGCTAATCCCTTTGTACCCTCTTGAAGTAGGTACTATTATTGTCCCATTTTGCAAGTGAAGAAGCAGGAGCAGAGAAGATTAATTTGCTCAAGTCATATAGTGAATTAACAGAGGATCTGTAATTCAGTTCTGTTTGATTTTAGTTTTAAACTATGAAACAGTAATTCCTTTTGGTGAAGCCAACATGTTTCTGGCACTCTTCTTATTGCGTTTTGGTGAAGCCAACATGTTTCTGGCACTCTTATTGCAGTCTATAAGGATTGAATGTTACATAGGGAGTTCAAAGAGATTTATTGAAAAGGAAATGGGAAGAATAAGAGAGCCATACGGACCTTCCCAGAAACCCCAGGTTTCTCCTGATGACCAGTGAAACTAAGTTCCTTTCTCCTAATGCCCCTTTAGCACATTTTTATCATGGTGATAAGGAGAGGTCCTTTGGTGTAGTATAGGTGTCACTTCTGTTCTTTCCAGACAAATAGAGGTGTAGAGCAAGAGGAGACACACAAAAGGACAAGAGACAGACCTGGGTGGAACTGCAGATAGTGCAAAGAGACACATGCAGTAGCACAGAGACGATGAGAATGACTGGTAAACAGTGTGCATCCAGATCCCAAATGAGAAGGGAGAGGATGAAATAGGTGCAGAAAGGTGGGCTGTTGGTGTAGTAGTTGAGAAGGGTCTCTTTAGGATTTTTGTTCAGGTAAGGAACTCAGAAGAGAAATTGGATACTCATGAACTTAGCCAGAAGTGTGTACCTTCTGTCTCCTTTCTCTTGAGGTCTGGTTACCATGATTCTCTAGGCTCCCCTGGTTCTATACTGCTGTGCCCTGCCATTAAGTATGTCTGCTGCCCTTTTGGTTCATAGTATGTGAGACTGGAAGTTCTTGAAGGAAAACGTGACAACTGAATCCTGGATGGAGTGAGCGAGCCTAAAGCTGGGTTGTTTGGGTCATAGCCTGCTCATGGAGTTTGCGTCCCTTGTGGCCCATTCTGGGGTCTCCCTGGGAAAAAGACACAAATAATCTGCAGGATGACTGAGGGTGACTTGAATGAGAGCATGAAGGAACAAACAGGTGGGGCTGTTTATCCAGAGAACATGAGGTTCTCTGCACGACACCTCAGGGCATTAAGGAATAGTGTTGACAGAAGACATTAGAGTGATAAAGAGCCCTAACAAGTTCTTTCACTTCCCTAAGGCTACAGGAATAGTTGTGCAAGTCCCCAATACTGTATCTGTTTCAGAATTCAAAAATTTTCTGATTATGGTCAGGGAATATAGTACATACTACATATTAAGCAGAATTCAGGTTAATATCCTGTAATCAAATGCATCAACATGTCTGTGGTTAAATGTATGAATAGTCACACTAAGTGGGGTAAATAAGAGCTATAAATAGGATCATGACAATTGAGGTTAGGTATTGGGCCAAAGTAATGAAAAAACTTGTTTCTTTAAAGACTTTTTATTTTGGGATTGTAGATAAGGGGTTGTGGGCTTTTATTAATTCTTCTCAGGTTGTTATGGGGCACAAGAGTTTGTGAAGCTTTCTAAGCATATCACATGGTAAGTATGTATGCAATCTCGAACAAAATACAAATGTCTAAGGGGCTGGATTTTTGACTTGAAGGAAGAAAGCTCCTAAAATGGGCAAAGTACCACTTTGGAACCAGCTATCTTGTGGAGTTCTGCACAACCAGGTTTTGAAGGTGCCTTAGAAGACTGTCCTCCTGTGGCAGGAGGGTGACAGAAGTTTGCTTATGCACATCAGCTGCACGTGATTTCCCTTTTATGTATCAGTGGGGAAGGGCAAAAAATGGTGTGTGTGTTTATGTATGTGTGGCATGGAGTTATCACACATACATTTCTTTAAAATATATTTCTTTATAATAATGTTGTAATAAATATCTTATTACATACATCTTTGTCCACATCTCAATTATTTTTCTCAGGATAGATTTAATAAAGGAGTATCACTAAGAAAGATATAGACATTTGAAAGGCTTGTGACCCCTTAGGGTAGAATTTTGTTATAATTATCTACCAAATCATTTGCTGGGAGGTCCTTTAAATTCAGAACTTGATGAAAAAATAAGTCTGAATGACTGAGCCCGCACTTGGGTTGATTGTAGATTTTATCCCATTTAATTGGATTTAGAGTGACAACACCTCTGAAAATCATGCAGAGTTTCTGGGCTGTATCTCCAGTTCCTTATTAATGAGGACCTGGTGAGACCCCGTGTGGCCTTGGAGATGGTATCATCTGCCTTTCCAGATCTACAGCCTTCTCTTCTGCATGACCTTCCATGGTGTTTCATCCAGCTATCGGTGTGAATGGAGTGGGTTGCTCCTGGCTTCAGATCTTCCTGGCTAACTGCAATGCCTGTGGTTATGATAGTTTTCTTGGACACTATGGGTCCACCTGTGCAGTCCGCAGCTTTCTTTGACCTTAGGACAAGGACAAGTTCTCCTGACAATATTACACTCATTCTGACCTTCACACTGGTATGAAGGGCTTTGTATCTAGTGTCCCTTTCAATGTGGAGTCTTAGCTGAGAACAAACCGATCATTGGACAACACCACAACACTTCCTATTTACTCTCTCTATGCTCTGGGAGCTACAGCAATATGAAATATTCCCATTTCCACATACTCTACTGACATCATGTGTTTCCAGTGATATTGGCCAGGACAGATGAGGGCGATGATGGAGGTTTTATCTGGGGATTGTATATTCTTGGTTGAAAGTGCACAAAAGCAGATTAGCGAGGGACCATAGGTAAGCAGGTGTGGCTATAGCCGTTTTCTGGGATATCAACATTTTTTTTTCATTTGGACCCCTGACCCCTGGAGCTACAGGCCTAAGGACAGAAGTTATAGTTAATTCTTGGGGCTTTGGTGGGAATAGGAGGGAGGAATAGTAATTACACATGAGATCAAGAGGTATCTCTGAACTGGGAATGTCTTAACCAGTGCCCTGGCCAAAATGGGACCACAGGACATATCCAAGTTCTCAGAAGGTGGGGGGTAAGCCTGTTTAACTCTTTCCTTGAGAATGTCTGAAAACAGAATCTGGCTCCAGGAGTAGAGAGGGCTGTGATCTCAGACAAGTATGCAAACACTTGCCTCTAGAGGCAGTGCTACCCTCTGTGGCAGTGCTGAGCATATCCCCAAGTCTGGGATCTGTAAAGAAGCTTTTATGTGGGAACATGGGCAGAATTAGGTTTAAATGTTGGGAATGATGGGTGGAAAGGGGACTTTGTTTATTTGATCCCACACTAGTTCCCCGATTGCCCTTCTTATTTTAAGCTTCCCTTTTAGGAGAGACAAGTACTTCTGACAGGGTCTTTCCATGCTGTGATCTGCCACAGAGCCAACCAACCAGCCAGCCAGTATGCTCAGGTCAACTGGGGTCTGAAAATGGTCCTTCCCACATGACTCTAGTATTACACTGTGGTGCCCTATCACATGCACCACTGTGTTTGGGCCTGATCCCCTTATTTTTTCTGCATGGTAATGTGTAGCTCCCTGCCTTTTACCAAGCAGAACACATGGGCCAGAGTCCACAGATGCCAGTAGTGCACACAGGGGCTTTATAGCAAGTATCTGTTGAATGGTTATCACAGTCATATGCAGACCGTGGGACAAAGATGACAAAATCCACACCCACAGACCTCAGACTTTCCTTCTAATGTACCCTCGCCTTCATCCCCCCCTCCCCCCGGCCCTATTATTATCACTGTGCATTAGAACAGGCCTTTTCTGAATGTAAAGGTTTCCAGGAGTCGGTCCCTGATCTGCTTGGTGCGGGCCCCATAGATGAGGGGGTTGAGGGCAGGTGGCAGCAGCAAGTAGATGTTGGAGAGTAGGATGTGCACGGGCTTTGGGACAGTGTGACGACCAAAACGGTGTGTGAGGTAGGAGAAGAGACCAGGCACATAAAAGGCCAGAATGACACAGATGTGAGAACTGCATGTACCAAAGGCCTTGGTACGGGCCTCCCGGGTGGGCAGCCGCAGCACAGCATGGGCAATGAGCCCGTAGGAGCCAGTGATGCCCAGAATATCCACACCTGACACAGCCAGTGAGAGTGCCAGCCCATACAAATTGTTGGCTCGCGTGTTACCCACCACCAGCTCTACCACGGCCATGTGTGCGCAGTAGGCATGGCTGATAGTCTTGGCTCGGAAGCGCTCAAATCGTGCCACCAGAAGAGGGAAAGGCACAACAATAGCCACTGCTTTGAGGGCCAGTGCCAGGGCTGCGTAGCCCACACGGGCTTTAGTGACCAGAATAGGGTAGTGTAGTGGACGCCCTACTGCCACAGCACGATCACACGCCATGGCCAAAAGCACACCAGACTCCACGGCTGTCAGAGCATGGACAAAGAACATCTGAGCCAGGCAGGCAGCATACGGCACAGGTCGGGGCCCAAGCCACAGTATGGCTAGCAACCCTGGGGCAATCGACATCGCTAAGCCCAGATCTGTGGCTGCCAACATGGCTAGGAGTAGAAACATGGGCTGCTGCAGCTTGGAGTCAATCCGTACCACTGCCAATAGCGCTCCATTGCCCAGTAAGGCCAGTAGATACATGGGCCCAAAGACCAATGTCAGCCAGGCCTGGGCACCTCCCAGCCCTGGAATGCCCATTAGTATGAAAAAGGTTGGATGTAAGAAGGTGGTGTTGGGCAGTACAGTTTCTCCCATACTATAGGGGATAAAGCTATAGGGCTCATGGGGGCATGGCTTCTGACAGGGGAAGAGATTTTGGGGAATGTCACAGTAGCATAAACCCATCCATAGTGTATGTATAAGTCTAGTACAGGGTTGGGAGGATCACAGGGTTATAGCCTTTGGTTGGGGGTTTTAGATGGATAATTAAGGTCACAGCTCTAGCTAGAATGGGGAAATATGTTAGTCCTAAAAGTTCATGAGTGTTGTGGGAGAAAAAATGGAGTGAGGATGGTGGTGACTGCTGCAGTGGCTGGTACTGCCAGTGCCCTCCAATTGGAGGTCAGCTGAGGTTGGAGCAGGCATGAAAGGTTTTCTGTCTCAGTCAAAGAAGAGTCTTAATGTTTGTATATATAGAGAAAGCCAGTGCTGGGTGAGGATCAGGTCTCAGGCTATCTTGGCTCAGACTGTTCTTGGATGAGATCTGTGGCCTTGGCTTCCTCAGCTCTGCAATGGTGTGGGTGCCATGATTTTAAGTGGTGCCCAGCTCTAATCCTCTTGCCACCAACCCTCCAAGAAGAAAGCAGGCAGAGATGAAAGAAAGGGAGAAATGTTTGGGGGAGGCAGCTGTGATCTGGAGTCAAGCTGAGAACCTAGTGTGATAGGAGAAAATTTGGTGAATTTAGGGGTGGGGATGTGGGATGCTTACGCTTTTCTGAACTTGGTACTGAAGAAGCCAACTTGAACACCAGCTGGAAGGTTGAAGCTGGGCTGGGGTGCAGTAGAGAGAGATGGCAGCAAGAAAAGGAACTTTCTTTCTTTGTCTCCTTTCCTTCTTCACAATCTAGAAGAGGGTATTACAAGTCTTAATCCTGAGGTAAGGGGGGCAGTGGAGTTGACATAAGCAGAGGAAAACAGCATCAACTCAGAGTGGCAGTCGTATGAAGAAGCATCTCTGATGAGCAAGTCAACCAATTCATCTCAGGATCTTGCCTACAGCACAAGCTTAATAAATGTTGACTGGATAAACAAATACAGAAGAAATCACTGCAAAAAGTTTGGCTGGGATAAGGTCTTGAGCATTGTGTTGGCAGCTTCTCTTTACTGTGACAGCAGCTTCTCTTTTCTGTGACTCTTACCTGTGGGACCCTTTATATGGCTGTTCTGCCTGCTTCCCTCAGGGCTTTATCCCTCCCACATGCCACATTAACTCTTCCCTATTCTGTCTCTTTGCTCAATGCTGATTGTCCAGTAACAGGAAGGAGAATAAGGAGGCAGCAATGGGGTCAAGCAGGGAAAGAAGAGTGGAAAGATCTGGGAAAGAAGAACACTTCTCTGGGAGGTATTTTCATATTCCCTGAAGTATGGGAGAGAAGACCTAGTTTTATTCTTTTATAAAGTCTTTTCCAGTCCGTTGTAATCACTTGTCTCTGTCTCCCCCACCAGATGGAAAGAGTTCCAGACATTGCTCTTTGTTAACCACAGTATCTCCACTGCTCATCATAATGCCTGGCATGTAACTGGCTCTGAATAAGTATTTATTGTCTTACCTGGGACATAGAACTGCTAGCCCAAATAGGCTTTGCTGACCAACAGGCTCCTACAACTTAAAGAGTCTTAAGTATCCATGGCAAAGATAAGGAATTATTTACCATCAACTATGTGTCTACTGAGTACAGTTCTTTTGACTATAAGGGCACATATCCTAAAAAAAGAAATCACAGTAAATGAAATTATACAATAAAAACCTTTAAGACTTATTGAAAAAGAGGGGGTACAGACACAACACTCAAAAACTTTGTTGTTGACACATTTTGAAAAAGGAACATAAGAAAAATGGCAGCATTGTTTTACCTATGTTAAATGGTTAAAAGTACATACATATTGGTACAGTTGGTGGTGGGCTGAGCTGCAGCACTGGAGGGCAAATGGCTGACTGTAGGTTCAAATTCCCAGGTTGGCCTGAGAGCACACCGAGGATGCTAACAAACTAGAAGACTGAGGAAAGGGGATAGTGGTTGATGAAACCCTGTCTAGAATGTCTCTCTCTCTCTCGTGCACCCACATGCACTTTTTTTTTTAATAGATATTTTTACTATAGGATGTGTGTGTTCACCAGAGATACAGAAAGCTGGAAATCACACCCTCCACCATGATAGCCATGCTGCAGTCCCTTCTCCATTTCTTCTCGGGATTTTTGGGCATGAGCACATGTGCATCTGGCATAGGTTTCAAGCGGCCAGGTCTAGGACTCAAACCATGATCTACTACGGGGGAGTCCAGTGATGTAACTATTATGCGTCTGCTGGTCCCCACACATGTACTTTCTATCATTAACAAAATAAATGAACTTTAAAAACTGTAAATACTACAATAAACATGACATTTTACCTTGAGAAGACTCAGACCTTTCCCTTGTGGAAGTTAGTATTGGAAGCAGATTGCAAATTATTTCGATGGAGCGAAGGAGGCTTATTTAAAATTGGGTGGAAAGTTGCAGCATGAGATGTGAATGGTTGTGGCTAGTAATGCATTCATGAACTGAGGGAGCTGATAAATGGGGCTGTGTGTGTGTGTGTGTGTGTGTGTATGTATGTGTGTTGGGCTTCCTACTCATCTCACTTCCACTGGATGCAGTATTTTTGTGTGTGTTTCCTCCTTTTTTCAAAATGGAATTGCATATAAGCAAGCTTGAAGTTCACATTATGCTCAGTTCCCTACTATATCAATTGTGTCAGACTAAATTTGCATTTTAAAACCAGCATTATAGCAGAAGTGATTATGTCTTTTATGCTTAGCCCTGTTCCATTTGGTGTAGCTGTAGTGACAAGATCTTGCTGCCCTCCGGAAGCTCCCAGTCTAGTAGACACAGTGATGTAAACAGTTGTTTCAGGAACACTATGGTAATTGCATCAAGTCTATCAGTACTAGATATGGTGACAGCACAGAGGAAAAGGTTTTTCACTTTTCCAGTGGGAGTCAGGGAAATCTCCGAAACTTACTGACAGTTATCATCCCCATGTAGTTTCCTACATGTAAGCCCTAATCTCACAGTAGTCATCTGAGATGGGTACAAATTTTCTTTCTATTTTACAGACAAAATTTTTTTTTTGAGAGGTTTTTGCTATAGGGCGCATGCGCTAGCCAGAAAGAGAGACAGAGAGATAGAAAGTGAGAAATCACCCCCTCAACCTCCAGGGGGATAGCCATGCTACAATCCCTTCTCCTCCATTGTCCTCTTGGGATCTTGGGCACACATGCACACACGCCCGGCGTGAGTTTAAGCCACCGGGTCCAGACTTAAACTGCGGTTGATTATGTGGGAGTCCAGCGACATAGCCATTATGTCAACTGCTGGTCCCAGACAAAAAATATTTAAAGCACAGAGAGATTAAGTAATTTGCCCAAGGTCACACAGCTAGTAAATAGAGTCATGACACTTAAAACAGTCTTACTAACATATTTTTGTTATTAGATACTGTTTTAAACATTTCAGATGAAATTTAGCACAGGTAACAAAGTTCTAGACTAGTTGAGGCAAAATGCTCCTATTCCTAGGTGGAGTTCAGGACACTTTGGGATTGACAGGTGGTTTTAGGATTCCTTGATGGACAGATATATAAAGGAGCTCTTGAAAAGTTTATGATGCCATGGAAAAACAATGGATGAATTAAAAAAAATTACCTCAAATAAATGTATATTTTAATTCCATTTTTTCCCACATACTGTAATTTTTTGGCAGTAGATGGTAAACTCTCTTCTGTGCACTTGGGTGTAGCAGCAGTAGGTCAAGAACCATAAAAGACAGGGTAAAAAAATATGTTTTTGGCCTGAAGAGAACATTAATGGGACTTTTGGATATGTTTTTGGCCTGAAGAGAACATTAATGGAATTTTTATCTGTCTTGGGCATTTGCTCTTTGTGCAAATTGTTCATAAAATAAATTACAGCCCCTTAAGCCCAGTAAGTTCAACACTGAGGTCACTAAGTTTCTAGACATCTGTTGTGTTCTGCATTTCTCTCTCTCTAGTAACTCAAGATGCAATGAGAGATATCACTGACTTTATCTCTAGGAAATTCCTTGGTTGGTCTCTCAAGCCTCAGTTCATACTTATAGATGTTCTCCAAGTGTAACACATTGGGGGCCACCTTGATGGTCTTTCCCTGTGGCATTAGTCATTAGAGGAGGGGGTTGGATAATACACCTATGACTTTGTGGGACTACACGTAAGAGGCCCCAGAGGAGGATGCCACCCCAGTGGAGGGGGTAGAGTGGGGATGGCAGGGAGGCTCATTGGACCCCTCAGTTGCTTCTAGACTGGCATGGAAAATAATCTGTTAGGAGGTTGACTCCGGTTTTCTTAGTTCTTCAGCTATCACCAACATCCATAGAATAGGGTTTTCAGGTACCATCTTGTATCTATGTGAGCCTATTTTATGGTTTTCTATTTAAAATGATTCATGAGCAACAACCCATAAGAGTGTATTATCCATTTACATAACAAGTCAGAAAATCTTGGGTCCAGTAGTGCCACTCAACACTAAATCCTCTTCTAGGGACATGCTAAGGCAAACTCTCAATTGTCAGGTATCAATTACAGAACATTATGACACCCCTCTGTGGCTAGGGGCACTGCAGTAGCCCAGGCCTCACCATCCTTCACTTTCAGAAGCAGCAGAGAGACTTTCCATGATCAGGTGGCACCACCTTATAGAGATATGGATGAAATCAGGGGACCACCACACCCATTCTGTCTTCTAGCTTTCCTTCTCCCCTCCATTTTTCCGGGAGGGGAAGTTACTTAATTTCCAGAAAGCTCTGGGGCAGTAGGAATTCCCAGTTTCTAGGAGAGCAGATGTGCTTACACTGAGGTTGCAGATTTAAGAGGAAATGTTCTTCCTCTCCACTATATAGGTTGAGTAACATTTTTCTGAAATACTTAGGACCAGAAATGTTTCGAGTTTCAAATGTTCTTGGATTTTGGAATATTAGCGTATACATAATGAGATTTTTGGGGGCTGGCATTCAAATATAA